TAATCTATCAGATAAGTTAATTAATTCAACTAATATTTCCAGAGAATGGTTTACTTCATTTGGAAGAGTAGTATATTAGTAAATAGTTGCAACTAGTCGACTCCAACCCGGATGAAACAACTTTTGTAAGAGCTAGGCTGCGTGAAATGCAATGGAAACGTCAGCTCTACTCAACTGATTGTGGTAAAATTCCTCTACTATTCCTTTATTACCTTAAACGAAATTGGGTAAATAAATCTCATATTACTGATTTACTGGTAGTCTCAAAATTCCACTTAAAATACGAAATAAAAACATATTTTGTAAATAGGTATGTTTTTTAAGACTACCAGTAGATCAATAAAATATGAAGTGTATTCACCCTATTCCATTTAAGCTTCAAGGGAACTGGAATTTGAATTTTTCCTGCAATGATATGATTAGATATTTCATTTCCACATCTGAGTTTATTAGTAGTGTAGTAGTAGTAGTAGTATGGTAGTAAATAGTTGCAACTGTAGTCCACTCCAACCCGGACGAAACAACTTTTGTGAAAGCAAGGCTGTGTGAAATTTAATGAAAAAGTCAGCTCTTCCCAGAGCATTGTAGGAAAATTCAACTGCCAGTCCTTCATCACCTTGAACGCAATTGGGTGAATACATCTCATATTACTGATTTACTTATAGTCTCGAAACTCTACTCTAATACGATAAATGAGAATACCCTTTGGGATGCGAAGCTCAACGACAGTCAATGGAATCCTGAGGCCTACTGGTTTCGTTGTAGGCAAATGCACCATAATTTTTTCACCAGGTTAAGCAAACATCCCATTCAAGATCTACTGTAGGTCTCGCAAACCTGCTTCATGTCATTAGAATTGAGTAGGCCCGAGTAGCTCAAGTCAGAGTGGCGGAGCGAATAGAGCCTGTGCTGATATCACCTGTTACGATGCCCCTTCTCCCTCCCTACACCACCACTCACGTACTCTCCGTCGCCGACTTGGTCTCGACTTCCGAGTTGCCGTGGTCACAACCACAGCCGGCGCCGTGTGGCCCGGTCGAGGCGGTGATGTCTGCCAATGGGCTTGCATTCGTTCCAAATTGGCTCCGGGACCAACTTCCTCCATTCACTTGGTTGGGCCTGGATGCACTCGAACTGACCTGGCATGCTTCGAGCGGATTTACGACCTCCTGACCCACCAAAGAGGCCTGGCTCAGCGGAGCCGAGGGTCGGCCGCATGACCAATGCTCCGTGAAGAGCTGAGATGGCAGCAACTGCGAGTCAAGCATCTCGGAAGTCATCATGTTGGTTCGTCGTGTACCGCCGGGGGACAGCTCTTCGTTGACGAAGGCGAAGGTGACCTGAAATTAGGCAGAAAAAGAGCTAGACAAGTGACCATAAATAGTCGCTGCCGGCTCAGTACGAGAAGTATTAAGCTTACTTTCATTTTGAGTGAAGGTGTTTGCCGAAGAGATTCCAACGTCGATCCCACCAGAAGACGACGGCGGATTCCTCTTGACCAGCCGCCGATTAGCTTTTCTGGAATATTCTTGCTGACGCTGTTTCCGTGGCAATATCCTTCGATTCCGGTGCGAAGGTGCTAAGCTTTCGTCCGTCACATGACGGGTATAATCAATGCATCGAGGGTATCATTGTCACAATCAAATTGAAGTTAACGAGTCAAGAAAACTTGACCTTTCTTGGTGATTAGGCCCGATAAGATTTTCGATTTGCTAGATCCAATCATTAATTGAGATGTAGTAGTCTCGAAAGTCTACTTATACGAAAAATTGGTTAGAATTTATTCCTGTTTCGGTTGTTTCGCATGCTTTACAAATTGTCAACTTATCTTTTCTTAACCCGTTAGCTCGAATTTGGTTGGGATGATGACATTCTCGATGCTCTGATGAGGCTCATTATATGGAGGATTGAAGCTTAGCATCTTGAATTATGCAGAAACAGATAAAGAGCAGTGTTCTGCGGAGTTTCTTGACTCGTTAGATTGAATTTGGTTGTGACGATGATACCTTGCTCTGAGGATGTTCGTGAAGTGACGGACGAAAGCTTAGAACCTTTCACCGGAATAGAAGGAGATTGCCTCGGAAACAGCGTCAGCATGAATGTTTTAGTAAAGCCAACCAACAACTGGTCAAGAGGAATCGGCCGTCGTCTTCTGATGGAACCGACCTTCAAATCTTCTTCACACAACACTTTCACTCGAAATGGAAGTCAGCTCAACAATTATGAAACAATACATTTCTCGAAACCCAACTTCTCTTCGCATGTACTTAGTACGAGAGGTCCACAGAAAAATAACAAAAAATCAACAATAATATGGGACACGAAAGCCTGACTCAGATAAACTAAATATTTAGATTAATTGAATATATGAAGACCAAGATATTTAACCTCTGGTGTGGTCGCAGTCTCCTTTCGATTGATAGAAGTGGGTTGACCTCGTTGTCGCAACTTGGTCTTGTTGTCATGGAGACTATGTAGAAGGCACCTAGTCCGAAGTCGTCTGCCATAGTAGTTGTCATGATTCCCAGCATCAGACAGTGGAATTGATACATTCTCAAACGTTTCGCCGGCATCGTAGTCGGCATCATCAGTCAGTTTTGCCATTCGCCGCATCATTCTACGAACTCGTCAAAGAGACAAGTGAAGCCAATCCTTCGACAAACGTTCTGCTGAAAACCGTTTGAGAATGTATCAAGTCCACGGTCGGATGCTGGGAATCATGACAACTACTATGGCAAACGACTTCGGACTAGGTGCGTTCTACATGGTCTCCCTGAAAACAACAAGGTCAACCCACTTCTAAATATGTAGATACGAAGATAAACTTGGTTTCTATGAATCTCCTGGCATACCATTGTTGGGGGGACCTTCATTTCGTATGAAAGTGCATGAAGAAGAGATTCGTTGCTCGATCTCACCAGCTGAGGACGGATGAATCTCGTTGTACTGCAGCCGGTTGGATTTTATACGATGCTCATGTTGACGCAGTCCACAACACTTCCTTCCTCGTTTCGGGTGAAAACGTGCTGAGCTTTCGTCCATCATTCGATGGACATCGTCAGAGCTGGACGTCATTCTTGTAAAAGGTTTTCGTTAAAACTAGGCCAAGGAGACTATCCGGCTTTATCCTACCTGATTTTTCGAATTAAGTATTGCTTTCGTTACTACCAGTAAATCAGTAGTATGAGATGTATTCACCTAATTTCGTTTAAGCTGATGAAGGACTGGTAGAAGAAGAATTTTCCCACAATCATATGAGTTGAGCTGACGTTTCCAAAGCCTTGCTTTCCAAAAATGTGTTCTCATTATTGTGGGGAAATTCTTCTTCTACCAGTCCTTCATCAGCTTAAACGAAATTGGGTAAATACATCTCATTTTATCTTACT